AATCTAAGTGACATGGTTCTGACAAATGAATATACCTGTGTAATACAAACCGCTACCAAGATACATAAAACATTATCACCACCCTAGAAAGTTGCCTCATCCTCTTCCCAACCTCTATACCCCACTCCTCGACAATCCAGATCTGACTTTTTTCACCAGAGATTAGTTTGGCCTGTTCTATAACATCCTATAAATGGAAACACATGGCTCTTTTATGTAAGGCTGCTTCCAGCTATTAAGCTAAATCAGGCTAAATTTGGCCAAGAAACATTGGCCAAATATCAATAATTCTCACATGTTTTTCCTGCTCAATCTTGTGGAGTATGACTTACTGCTCAAACCTATATTTCTAGAGTGTTAATTTTTACAAGTATTCTGAAAAGCAGCCTTGCAAATAAAAAAGGAGTCTAGTCAGGGGTTAGTAAAAAACTGCCCACAGGCCAAATTCAGGCCAAATCCTGTTTTGTAAATACAGTTTTATTGGAAAACAGCCACACCTATTCATTAGGTATTGTCTATGGTTTGTTTCATGTTATAATGGCAGAGCTGAGTGGTTATGACACACTAGAATGGCCGCCAAAGCTTAAATATTTACCATTAGAGAACTTTTAGAGAAAAAGTCGCTGACCCCTGTTCTAATGGATGTCGCATTGGCAATGCATTTTTAATTACCTATCCTACATAAGAAGTAACTCACCTTGGACATATGGCTATTGTAAGTTTTTCCTCGGGAAGCCAGAATTTGGTATCATTCTATTTCCTTAAAAAGGTATCAAAAATTAACGAAGCAACCCAGAATTGGGACTCTGAATCAGGAGTAAAGACCACACTGAGCTCTGAATAGGTCCAGAATAACTAAATATTTGGCAGGCAAAGGAGGTAAGTACTGGTAGAGTAGACATTAGTCAGTTGCTGCTCTATTTCTCATTTTTGCTCGCAATATTTCTGTTAAGGCAAGCAACTCCTAGGAGAAGTTGTGCAGAGGCTACTTAAGAGATTCTCTGTTACCTCTGATAGTGTGGTGAAAGGACATGAGGTCTGGGTTAGATGCAGCTACTGTGCACCAACAGGAAAGGTCTAGAGCTAGGAGTTTGAGAATAAGAGAGGAAAACTTGAAGGCAGCCCAATGGTAAAGCTGACTTTACATCACTTCTTAGGGTAGAGTCACAGTGAGGCCTCTGACTCAGGATTTGCATGAACTAGCACTACCTCTTGAATTTTCATTTATGTAAGCCAATACGGTGTCTTATTATGTGAGCCCGGGAAAGCTGGATTTGTGGGCCATTTCCAACCAAAAGAATCCTTTTGTTATGAAAAGCCAAGTATTTATATTCTTGAACCATCACTGAGTACTAGGGCACAGTTGTTGCTCCTGAACAAGGAATACTGGTTGTCGAACTTCACCCCAAGAATTCTGAAGCAAATGAGAGAAAAGGCCATAGCTGAAGGAAAGAGGGAGACAGAAAAAGTCAACCAACAACTCATAACTTGTTGGAAAATCATAACACTAAGGACCACCATGAAGTGAAAAGAATTCAGATATATGATGCAGCTATTACTCTGGTATCTTGATTATCAGATATCTGATTGTCTGATCATGTTTCTGACAATTACAAATCCACCCCTCCTCCTCATACTCATCTCTAGTCTCCTTGGAAGTTGAAGGTGGTGACATGTGCTCATTCTTCATTATGCCTATAATTAATAAGCAATATGTTTGGATTGCTCTCCACTGGTTATTTATCAATATCATGTCTCAAGGGCTCCTTTTGGCCTATAATTTGGTAATGGAGTTCAGAGCTACTGCCTCTTAATACAAGACACAGACAGCCAGAGGCAAAATATATTTATGTAGACATATGTTAAAGATATCCCATATTCTGCCTTACTGATAATCACATAATCTAATACCCTAGAGTTAATAACTGTTAATACCCTTCCAGACTTTTAAAATGCATGATTTCCTCTGTGGAAATGGGACTATGCTACGTTGACTTGCTTTTTTGACTTCTGGACACTTTTCCTTTATAATAATTCAAATCTAGTCTGTCTTTTTAACAACTGCAAATTAACCTACAACATGAATGTACTAACTTATCTGCTTATTGACTACTGATAATTTTTGTTCACAAAGACAGCATTCCTATAATAAACATCCTTGTAATTAGGGAAAAGATATATGTATATATACTTTTGTAAAACAATTTTTAAACAAGGAGTTGCTGGGTCAAAGTTAATAAGAAATATTTTAAAATTCTGACAAGCAGCAAGACACAAAACAGTGAATACCATGACTCCATTTAGAGTAAAAAATCATGTGAGTCAAGCACACATGCATGACGAGTTACAGAAAAATGGCTTCAACCAGAATCAATTTTGCCCTCCAGGGACATTTAAAAATGTCTAGAGTCATTTTTGGTTGTCACAACTGGAAAGGTGCTAACATCCAGTGGGTAGAAGCCAGGATGATGCAAAACAACTTGCAATGCATAGGACAACCCCACCCTGTCCCAAAGTAAGGATTATCCAGCCCAAGGTGTCAATAGTGCTCAGGGTGAAAAACTCTGGTTTAGAATTATTTATTGCACTGTCCACAGTAGCTTTCTTTGAAGAGTGGACAATTATCATTTATACTTTTGTATTGTTTCTGGGTTTTGTTTTTTTTTTTAACTCTGTGTTGACTTAATATCTTGGTTTTTAAAATTAACTTAAAAAATTTTCAATTACAGTTGACATTTAATACTATTTTATAGTCTCAGGTGTACAGCATAGTGATTGGACATTTATATAATTTACGAAGTAATCCCCTTGATTCGTCTAGCACCTACCTGGCACCATACATAGGTATTACAGTATTACTATATTCCTTATGCTGTACTTTACATTCCCCTGACTGTTTCGTTAACTACCAATCTGTACTTCTTAATTCCCTCACCTTTTTTACTCAGCCTCCCAAACCCCCATCCCATCTGGCAACCATCGGTTTGTTCTGCATCTATGAGTCTGTTTCTGTTGGGTTTGCTCACTCTGTTCTTTAGATTCCACATATAAGTGAGGTCATATGATAATTGTCTTTCTCTGTCTGACTTATTCCACTTAGCATAATACTCTCTAGGTCCATCCATGTTGTTGCAAATGGTAGAATTTCATTTTTTAAGGCTGAGTAATATTCCCTTTTACATATGTACCATATTTTCTGATTCTAATCATCTATTGATGGGCATGTTTGTGGGGTTTTTACAAAGAACATGCACTAGTTTAAAAAATATTTCCATAAACAAAAGGTCTCCCTCCTGTTGAGATAAAATCAATCTCTGTGGCTTCTCACAATTGTTCTAGACCTTGGGGACAAATTCTAAAAGCAACTAAGACTCACTGAATTGTCTCTTCAGCAGGCTAGCTTAGTTTTCAATGCTCTTCATAGGAAATAGTTTCTAGTCACTTTATCAATCTGATTGCTATACTTATTAAGAACGAGGTCCTAAGTGCTGAACCTCAAACTCTAGTTCTGCACTGTGACCAGAGAATAGTGGAATTATCATCTCCGTCATCCTACATGCAGTGGCTCACATTCAGCTTATTAAAGCACTCAGTTTTCCCACCCACACTACAGTTAATTTACATTTCCCTCATCCTATACTTTTATATTGCCTTTTAAGTCTAAATGCAAGAAACTGAGAGGCCTGATTAACTCTCCTACTACTTTAAGGCGTGTACCACTTTTGTGTCTCTAGAATACAATTAAGTTACAATTTTGAGTTACATTTTAGTCAAGAGCAGACATTCTCATCACCTGGCTTGCATGCTGGGGTTACTTAAATACTTTCACTTATGCACTTAAAAATCACCTAACAGGATAAGCTATTTTAGATTTTTATTAATTTCACTCAATTCAACAAATATCTACGGAGTATTTAGGAGACTGTAGTCATCAAAGAGGTCAATAAAACAAAGAACTGAACTTACCAGAAGGCTTTCTGGCTTACAGCAATTTGCTAGTGTTACCTTACTGAAGTTAACACTATTCGTTCTATTATATTAAACACTCACTGATTTCAACCTGTACAACTACACATAATACTGTTTTATAAAGAAAGCCTGGGTGTTATTCCTATACTCTTTCAAGTCTTTGCACATTTCTGAGCCCAAACTAAGTGCTCACTAATGTTTAATGAACAAATGCAACATGGCAATATACTTGCTCACGAACACCTGTAACAGAGATTTTACTCTTTGCAGCGCTGAAAATAGGTATTCTTAAAAGTATCCCAAACAAAAGTGGATTCACAAAGGCATAAAGCACACACGAAAGGGTTAGGTAACACTTTGCCCTTGATAACAAATTACAGAAATAAGGAAACGTTTTCAAGAATGCACTTTGAAGATGAAGAAATGGTGAAGACGAAATTAAATTCCAAAACAGACATATTTTCCCCACGAACACCGGCACTCCCACGTCATTCCCACCTCACCAGGGAGAAAACTCCCGCATAAATGAACGCAGGGGTCTCCCTCGTGCAGAGTCCCCCGCAGAAACCCCGTAGGGCGGTCTGCACTCCCCCGCCCTGCCACGCCCCCGCACAGGCCGGCTCACTCCTCCGCCACCCGCCGGCCGGCGAAGCGCCCCGAGGCCTTCGCTCCGACGCGGCTAGGGCAGAGTGCTTTGCAGAAAGACAAGGGAAGGGAGAGGCAGGTGGGCGGGGAACAAGCCTATCCCAACCCCGCAAGCCCAAGCCCACGAAAACGCGGGCGATCGGCAACTCCCGGCTCCGAACGTGCACTCGAGGGTCTCG